GGGGGGGGGGGGGGGGGGGATTCAAGTGTTAAGAAAAATTGGTCAGGGGCCCCCACAAACTAGCATTTTTGTAAATTGGTGGACTATTTTCCCCACATATAAATATAATATAGGCTTGTTTAAATTCTGAATTGTGGTGGTGCTGTGTTACTCTTTGTTTAGATTATTCCTTTATTTTGGTTTTCAACTTGAGATATATTTTGAAGACTGGATATATTAATAATGTGTTTTTGGGTACTTAGTAAATCTTTTAAAAAGAATAGTTAAGCGAGGCAGTATCAGGAATGTTTTTATGTACAATCTCAAGACGTATTCTGCCAAATAGCAATAGATACAAAGATAATTTAATTTTGTATAATTTTGCAGGTTGCACCTTACGAAAGGCCTGCATTAAGCAAAGGTTATTTACTTCCAGAAGGTATTCTTTTCCTCTTCTGACCTGGTTCATGAAGGAGAATTGATTCAAAATAAATATCAGTTTTAGAAGAATTGAAGCACTTGCTTTTCAATTGAAACATTCATCTTTATTATTATTATTTTTTTCAGTTCTTGGCACATATCTATAAGTTATTGTCCTTTAATTCAGTATGTGATTTAATGTCCTGTTCTTGTGACGTGCAGCTGCTGCACGCCTCCCTTCATTTCACTGTTGTGTAGGTGCTAACGAGGAAAAATTATCTCCAAAATGGTACAAGGAACATGGTAATTCACCTCATATCGTGGCCTCTAGAATTTATATTTACTCGAAAGTTGGAAGGAACATTAAATGTTATAGATCTCCAGCTAGGTGATGTGAATTGATAATGCCTCACACATATTCTTTTCACTGTAACATTTTTCATCCTTCTACTCTATCTCCTAGATGCCTACATTGCTATGGCCATCACATGAATGCTATGTTTAAAATGGCGGAAATGGGAACTGTGGCATTTTACCTTTGTGAGGGTGAGGCACCAAAAACCAAAAATTTAAGTCCAAAAATTATAAAATAATACAAAAATAAATATATATTAACACCCAAAAAAAATTCAAGAAATCTCAAAATAAAAGTAAAAATTCCGAGAGAGAAGACAAATAAAAGAATAAAATGGTAATTAAAAGCATTTACATGCTGAAAATTTTGTTTTTTTAGAAGAAGCTTCTCTTGTTTCTTGGAGGCGGTGAGAGGTGGGATAGTGTAGTGTTTTTATTTTTTTATAAGAATGATGGATAATCACCCAACTATTCATGGGTGATGTGTAAGACCAATAAAATATTTGGATATGAGATTCAGTTTTTTGATCTTATCATTTATTATCACATCACATGGTGATCATTACCGATGGAGTTAAATATCAATAGTTGTTTTTATACTGTGTAGTCTCACAATATAAAGAATTGACATGCCCAATTTTTTGTTTTGTTCCCTTTTTATATATGCAACTCATGCTTAGACCTACAAACGAGCAAAAAGGGGGAAAAGGTCAAAGGTCTCCACAAAATTGAGGCGCATGCGTCACACCTGCCTCATGAAAAAGTACTAAATTACTGCCTTGAGGCACAGTAGTGAAGTGTTCCTCACTATTGCATTTCTCAAGCCATGGATGAATATTTATTTAACGTTAGGTTATTCAATATGTAGCATTTATTTATGATTAATATTATTGTTGGAGCAAAGGATGTGCTCTTTAGCAGATTCCATAGAAGAGAACTTAAAGATGGCTGAAGTTTTAAGGAAAATACATCTCTTTTCAACTGAGGACCAAAACAAGATCATTTCATTCATTTTTAGTAAAATAGGAAAGATAATCCATTAGTAATGAATAAGGGGTGGAAGGAACCAATAAGTCAACAGGCATCAAGGCAGGCACTAGTTGGTACATACATTACGAGTAGGAAAAGTTGCTGAGTAATCCATTTTAAGGGTTCTCCTAATTCTCGTGACGTGTTGGTGCTTTTTTTTTTGGGGGGGATCTGACCATACTTTGTTTTGATAACAAAAATTTAATGCTTACAGATATTTCACAGAAGTTTGTTATAAGGATGGGAACAAGAAATAAGAAAATGTAAACCAACTGTAAAATGTTTAAACTATGTGGATTGCTATGGTTTGTGAGATGGAATCTCATAAACCTGTCTAAATGTCAATTTTCTAGAAATTTGATTTTGGAATTATAATGTTAATGCACTTTCATGAATTTTAAACGACACAACGGCTTGCCCTCCAGAGTATAAGATAAGCTGATTAAATTTAAATAACATAAATTATGCATATCTGTCATTTTATGTTAGGGAGTTAAGGTCCTTCTTGAGTGGACGAGCCATTCCTCTGCCTATTCCTCAGTGCATTATTTTACATTTTTATTCTCTGATTGACGTGAATGCTTTGTTGCCTGTAAGTGTTTCTAAAAGTGGTAGAGAAGTATATTTCTAAGATCTGCTTCAACAGTAACTAAGATCTTTCCTTGATATTTAATTATTTTGAGATTCTTTTCGACCGTCCAAGATGCCATATCAATAAGCTGTAGTCAGTGTTAATCAATTTCTTCTAACTGTAATTTTATTAGGTATTGAATTGATTCTGGGAACTCGAGTTAAGTCTGCTGATGTGAAGCGGAAGACACTACTAACTGTGACAGGAGAAACAATAAGCTACAAATTTCTCATTGTTGCAACAGGTGCTCGGGTATTAAAGCTAATCTTTTTCCGTGTTTTGATACCCATGTAGCACTAGATGGGCAGTGTATCTCATTGTGACTTGATAAATTTACTTGGAGGAAGTTGATAACTCGCCCTAAAAAGAAAGGAAAAGGAATAGGTCTTTAGATGCCGATTATACTTGGTACCCTCATGGTTTTTGTGGCATGATTCTCATCTTTGACGGTTGCCTAGAAAGACTTTCTTTATTATTTTATTATTTTTATTTTTTATATCCTCAAAGTACAACTCTGCACTTTGGGTCAGTATTTGGAATGGCTAAAATCTGGGAAACTCTTCATATGCTATTTGAAGTTTAAACTTATGATTGAACACGTTGTATAGTACCTATTTTTTATTTATTGATCTTTTATAAACTTACAGTGCAACTCCTGGAACTGAATCAATCACTTTGCCCGACTTTTCTATCGGTTTACTGTTGTTATTTCAGAATTATGGACATAATCTGAATTATTGCAGCAGGCAAAACTGTGTCAACATTTTAATTTGAATATTCATCTCAGCATATCTGTCCAATGCAAAGCAGTGGAATTTGCTAACAAAAAACTCGTGTTTATGTTTATGTTTATTTTTATGCACACACATAATTAAGAGCGAAATCCAACAAATGTTTTTTACTCAGATTGATTTCCATGTGTCCTTTACAGGCTTTGAAGCTTGAAGAATTCGGAGTGAATGGATTAGATGCAGATAATTTGTGTTATTTGCGAGATTTGGCAGATGCAGACAGACTTGTAGATGTGATGAAATCCTGTACTGGTGGAAATGCAATTGTCATTGGCGGTGGATATATAGGAATGGAATGCGCTGCATCTTTGGTTATAAACAAATTAAACGTAGCAATGGTTTTCCCAGAGGCACATTGCAGTACATTTCCCTTTTTTTTTTTCCTCATTTTTTTTTTAATAAATACTTATTTACTTCATCTCACCATTTGGTTTCTTTTACTGCACTATGTTGGTCTAGTGCTTGTTTGGTAGGGATTTTTATAATTTATTTTTTGATCGTTAGAGATAAAGTGAGTCCTACCTGTGAGAGAAGAATTCAAAAATGACGGCTGGAATAGTGAAATAGCGGTCAAAAAATTTGAATTTAACTGGCTTTTAAACTGTACCAAACAAGCTGCTAATATGGTTGGACCTCTAGTTTTTTTAAACTGTTACTTTTATTTGATTGGAATCAAATATGAGATACACTGTCTGAATTGGGGTTGTCTTGAAATTGTTTAAAAGAATAGATAATGCCATTTCAAATAGGAGTGCTTCGACGATGATGGCTTTATTTGTTAGCAAAAAAAGGGTGCCCTTCAGAGGCTTTCACTCTTCTATGCAGTTAACCTGTAGGAGACCTACATGATTAAATATCGCTTAAATATTTAGTAGTCTTCATTCATACTTCTTGCCTTTGTTTATTAGTCATCTTGAAGAATGAAATTTTTGCCATGTACAGATTATATCCAAGTTAGGAAATGCATTACTTAATAAAATGGAGGTTATCTACATTAATCTTTGCTGACCGTTCTTTATCTTTTTTATTTTTGTAGTGGCCCGCTTATTTACGCCCAAGATTTCTAGTTACTATGAAGACTTCTACAAGGCAAAAGGAGTGAAGTTCATCAAAGGGACGATGTTGTCATCATTTGATTTCAATTCTGATGGGAAGGTAATATGTAGTTTCATTCTTACTGACCAAAAATTTAAAAATATTAGATTTCTCACAAACTGCTTGGTAATGTAGAAACTTGGGTTCGTATTTCGTCTGAATATTTTTTATACTGTATTGTTTTAACACAAAGATATTGCTGTCGATACTAAGAACAATTTCCTCGTAATTCATTAAAATTTTATGGACTGGTTCTTGATTTCACAAGTGACAAACCAAATAAGAAATTGTCATTTGGAAAAAGGCCCGCCCGGTTTTATAGTGGGGAACTTTCTGGTGCTTATTGAGTATGTGACGATTGCATGTTCGCTTTTTATTATTGCTAGCAAATATTTTTAGCTGCTTGTAATTTAAATTTGTGATCGTTCCCTTGTTGATCTCAATAGTTGGACTAACCAAATTTTTACAGGTTACTGCCGTTAATCTTAGAGATGGTAATAAGCTTCCAGCTGATATGGTGGTAGTTGGGATTGGCATCCGTCCAAACACAAGTCTCTTTGAAGGCCAACTAACCATGGATAAAGGAGGGATCAAAGTGAATGGGAAAATGCAATCGAGCAACAGCTCGGTGTATGCAGTTGGGGATGTTGCTGCTTTTCCAGTCAAAATTTTTGGGGAAACTAGGAGACTTGAGCATGTGGACTCAGCACGAAAGTCAGCAAGGCATGCTGTTGCTGCCATTATGGAATCAGATAAGACAGGTGAATTCAACTACCTTCCATTCTTCTATTCCAGGGTCTTCACATTGTCTTGGCAGTTCTATGGGGAGAATGTTGGGGATGTTGTCCATTTCGGGGATTTCTCGGGGAATTCTTTTGGGGCATATTGGATAAATAAGGGTCATCTTGTTGGGTCTTTCCTCGAGGGTGGAACTAAAGAACAATACGAGGCCATAGCTCAAGCCACAAGACTCAAACCAGCAATCGAAGAGTCAGCTGAACTTGAGAGGCAGGGTTTGGGATTTGCCTTGACGTTGAGTCAGAAATTTCCAGCATCACAGCCTCTCGATTCTGGTGGTTCAGGGCTGCTTATTGAGAAACCTGTATATGCTTTGCACGCAACTGCTGGAGTTATCATGGCAGCATCCATAGCAGTCTTTGCATATTGGTATGGCAGGAAGCGAAGAAGGTGGTGAGATCCTTATTTGTCTCAGAAAATTTTCTATTTTGATCACTGTATGCCGCAATGCCCCAGATGTAGTATTTCCAGGGCAAGGATTACTGAAGATATACCTTGATGTTATACTGTAATCCATATTTGAGTGACAATGACTCATAAGCAATATTCCACCATACTGAGGTTAGTTGTATCAATCTTCTTGGTTGCTGCTGTGTGAATTTTGGCTCGGGTATCTTGGCTTTTGTTTTGGTTAAGGCCATTTCCTCGATTCTGTGGATCAGGGTGCAATAACTTTCTCTTCTTATTCGACGTTTAAAAAATTCTTTTGGATTATATTAAGGGCACCCTCACTGCTCAAATAAAGAGGGTCAACCGCAGGATGTTGAACCCTTGATAATACACCATTAATTGATTCATCATCATCTAGTTCTTATTTAGATTATTCTCATCTGACGAGTCAATTCCCTTTTGCTGATACGGGATAGGACAATGAAGGAGATGGAAGAAGATATCATGGAAATTTTCTGCCTTCCATTTATGCATTGTGCTAGGGACGAGATAAATACTCTCTTCTTCCTTCCCCTTATGTACAATAATGTGATGGAAAATGTCGCAAACCAAACTTGTTTATTTATCGTAGAACTATATTCTTTTTCGTCAATATGATCCGATCAATTACGAGATATGAAAGTGCGTCAAACTCGATTATCGATTATATCTTTCATCCCGCTATTAAGTTAATGCAAATTGAAAACTCTTTTTGACTTATGAGTACGCTTCGGCCAAAGATTTGATTATTGACTTAATTAAATGAAATGTAGATCATATTCTGTTATTATCTAAGAATGATAAATCCCCTATTAATCGATTATATCTTTCATCCCGCTATTAAGTTAATGCAAATTGAAAACTCTTTTTGACTTATGAGTATGCTTCGGTCAAAGATTTCATTATTGACTTAACTAAATGAAATGTAGATCATATTCTGTTATTATCTAAGAATGATAAATCCCCTATTAATCATTCACAATCTCGATATAATTCTTGATGTACTCGAACGACATTGTATTAGTAACCCTTGGCACGGCAACATTCAACATCACCAAGTTAAAGACAAATTCTACTACCAAATATTGGAGATTAATCACTGACACTTAGATGGTTATTCATGTAGAATCTCTCTGATAGGTCTCCATTATTTTGTTTTTTAACAAATGTCCACGTATTCATTTAAATATCACCACATTTTAGCTTATGAGATCAGCTACTCACTTTAAAAGTGAGAAATGAGACACGTGATCATCTAGTCATAATAACGGTATTCATATCTCGTTATAACTTATATTCACAGATAATTCAAAATTCAATCATATGTAATTTGTCTCTTACAATCTCAACCTTTACGACTTGAATTTTCGGATTTTATTAGTTTAATAGATTCAATTAAATAATAGATCTTGCCAAAATATAAAATAGATTAATCATATTTAAAATATTTACAACTTAAATTGATTGGATCTAAAACTTAACACTTACAAACTCTTACTTGCACTAGATTCAATTACTTATATATCTATACCATAAGAGTCTACATGACAATCATGTTCATGCTGTGACAACGCCTTTGTCAATGGATCTCAATATTATCGTCTGTGGGAACTCGCTCTATCTTTACGATATCTCTTTTTATAATATCCTTGATGAAGTGGTACCGCCTTAGCACATTTTAGATCATTGATGTGACCTGGTCCCTTCACTTGCTTGATGTCTCTATTGTTATCACAATATAGATGTATTTGGTCAACAATGTTAGGAACAACTCCAAGTTTATTAATGAACTTTTTGATCCAAATAGTTTCCTTTGCTGTTTCACATGCAGCAATGTACTTGACTTCTATTGTTGACTCAACGGTTATTTCCTGTTATGAATTTTTCTGTCTGGCCGCTCCATTTGTTGAGAGTAAACACATATCTAGATTGAAATTTGCTATCATCCTTGTCATACTGGAAGCTTGCATCAGTATATCCATAAACTCTCGATTCATCTCCTCCATATTTAGTCTTTTTTAAGTATTTAAGAATATTCTTAACTGCTATCACTGTTTCTTCTCAAGATTTACATGAAACCAACTTGTAACACGTACATCATATGAAACATTTAGTCACGTACATAACATTGCATACATGATAGATCATATTGCTGATGCATAAGGAATCTTACCCATGCAATTTCCCTAATGATGTGTTTTGGGACACATATCCTTTGACAGGTAAATTCCATATGACATGGGTCATAATCCTCTATTAGATTCTTCTATTTTAAATATTCTCAAGATTTTATTTATGTACGAAAATTGGGACAAGTCAAGCAATCTTCTAAATCTATCTCTATAGATCTTGGTATCTAAGACATAAGATGCTTCTCTCATATCTTTCGTGGGAAAAATTTTTGACAACCATAATTTCACCGATTAAAGTATTATGATATTGTTTTCTCATTAATAATATGTCATCTACATAGACTATTAGGAATACAATAGTGCTCCCACTTGTCTTCTTGTAAACACACAATTTATCTCTATTTTTGACAAAATTAAACTTTTTGATTTTCTCATCAAAGCGATTAATACAGTTCTTAGACGCTTGCTTAATCCATAAATGGATCGATCAAGTTTGCATACCTTGTTGGCTTCTTTGGATTCAAAATATTCGGGTTATATCATGTACATTTCCTCTTACAAGTTTCTATTAAGAAAAGTAGTTTTGACATCCATTGATCATATAATTGTATCCTATACTAGTTGGCTTGGACACGCAGGCCCGTAATAACAACAATGATAATGGACTCACAAATCCAAAATGAATTAAGAGCTCGCAAGGCTGTAAAACAACAATAATAAAATTAATCATTCAACAAATCTATGTCATTGAGTCCATAATCATCCACAAAATAAACATTCATAAATACATGCATTCCTCTATAATATCTAATATTATATACAAACATGTTTCAATAATCTAGCAATTATAGTCTTCTAAACTGATTTAGACAAATGGATTGACCGCATTAAATAATTAATTATTCAATTAAATTGCTTAACGGGTTTGTCTAATTAAATATCAAATGAGAGTCAAATTCTAATTCCAGTAATATATTATGATGAAATAATTAAAATCAAAATTTAATTAAATATCAAATTAGAGTCAAATTCTATTCTAACTGATATAAATTTTAATTTAGGATAAAATTTTCAAATAAAATAAAATTCAATTTAAGGTCAATGTTTAATGTTTAAGTGAAAATTCAAATTTAACAATAATATAAAAGTCGTCAATTTTAAGTAATATTTTAATTAGGTCAAGTTTGAATTTTGGGTCAAAATCCATTTTAAAATTAAACTTAATACCATTTTAATATTTAGATTCAAAACTACTCAAAATTACAACATGAACCACAAATTAAAATTAAAAGCAGGTTCTTCAATTTCGAAAATTGCATGACAAGCCTTTTATTTTAAAATTGCAAATTGACCCTTAAATGTAAATTGTATACAAGTGCCCCAAAATTTCATAAATTGCATATGAGGCCACCCAATTACCACACCCGAAACACTAATTCTAAAATCACGAGTGCCACGCCTCTACAGCATAAATAATGCATCATCGCTGTCACCACGCAGTTACAGATAACAATTAGCACAACTGTGACAATTGCAATAGCACTCGATGATCCATAGATGAGTAGCATCGGCTCTCGTCACTGCAGATGAAAGCATCGAGTGCCGCTGTAGACACGGCTTGGGTGCTGCAGTGCACCACAGTGCCATTGCTGTCGTCGTCTCCATTTTTTATCCCCTTTTTTACCCAAAAATTATATTATTTTCGAAATCAAATTTTAAAACATAAAAAATAATTTTCAAAATTGCAAGATCCAAGAAAAAACATAAACAATTAAGTTTTGATTGTTTGAACATGCAGAACAATTTTTAACAAGTAGAAAGTAGACTATGATATCACTGTTGAGAATTTACTTAATCATGCATAGCGAAAAATGAAACAAAATTCAATTCTCATCAATGATCTGCTTTGTGTTTAAATATCAATTGTGATAAAAATTATATGAATTCCTTGAAGAACAATCCTGATATGCAATCCACAGTTGTCCAATTATCCAACTTTCAATGGAGATCACACTAGGAACAAAATTGAGAGAACTAAGATTTTTCTTCTCTAGTGCTAGGAAAAATATTATTATATTGTGTTTTTAATTTTCAAACCCTAAAAGCCTATTAATCAAAGTCCAAGTAGGCTCAGCACATCTCTTAAGCTTAAATCAATCCAATTTTTAATTAATTTATTTAATTAAATTTTATTAATGAATTAATTAATCCAACTAATTAATTCGGGCGTATTAACCAGCAACTCAATTAATTAATTGTCTAAGACTTGTCAATTAATTAAATGATAAATCGCATTCTTCTAGTTCTCTTATGTGTACATATTAGGTTCCTATTCACGATTCTTGACGATATGAATTATTATTTTGATCTAATCAAAATCGATAAATTAAAATATCTCCAATTCACATCGATCATCTTAGATTGACATTTAGCAATGTGTCAGGACAATACATGTAATTGAAAATTTCGTACGGTATGGCAAAATCAAACTTGTTTTTTACCATGGAACTACAATCTTTTCGTCAATATGATCCAATTAATTGTGAGATATGAAAGTGTGTTAATCAAAATTATTGATCATATCTTTCATTTCATTATTAAGTCAATGCAAGTCGAAGACTCTTTTTAATTTATGAGTACACTTTGACCAAAGATTTCATTATTGATTTAATTGAATGAAATGTAGATCATAATCTCTTACTGCCTAAGAGTGATGAATCTTCCATTGATCATTCACAACATTCATATGATTCTTGACATACCTAATGATGTCGTATTAGTGACTCTTAGCAGAATGACATCCAACATTACCAAAGTATGGTTGTCCCCATGTAATGCTCTACAATGACTTCAAGTTAAAGAGAGCAAGTTAAAGGACCAATTGTACTATCGAACATTAAAGATTAAATACTAACATTTAGATAATTATCCATGTGAAATCTCTCCAAGGGGTCTCCAATATTTTATTAATAGGGTTTTGCTATAATGATAGGGCCACTGTCACTTCATGGGCGCATGTGGGGCCTCTTATTCATCTAGGGCCCAAGTGGCCTTGGACAAATAGCAAAACCTATATTAAAAAAAAAAA